TGTAAGTAATAATTAGAAGTTCGTAATCAGAAGTTATCAGAATGATTGTAGACCAAAAAAATTTCGGAAATCAGAAAAACTTTTAATTCGGAAATATTAGATAAAAATGTTAATTTGTTTTCAAATAATTATAATATTTAATAACACACAGGTCAAAGCTAGAAAACAGTAGGTTTTTAATTGATTTTTTCATAATTTAACCTTGATGAAAAATTTCGAAAATTAAGAGATGTCAGCTTATGCCAAATTGTTTTTTTGATACGAGGAACAATTCAAAACTCAGCAATAAATCCTAAATCTCAAGTAATTCAACTCAAATCTTGGAAAATTTGGAAAAATGTTTTAAATATCGAATTTTTGAAAACAAAAAGCCAAGTCAAATATTTTTCGATATTGTCAAATAAAATAGAAAAACCATTTTTTTTCCAAAATGCCTTGTTTCAAAGACTATTATATTCAAAGTTTACCAAAAAAATTTACAAACTAGGACCGATTGCAAATGATCCAATCTATCAACTTTGAAAACGTCAAGTTTTGACTTGAATCACTCATCAGGTTTTTAGCGGGTTTATTTCACCATTTAAAACAAATTTTATAAAAAGGGTTGAATGAATTTGTCACAATGAACAACACAATTTTGTCGCCGAAAAATTTTCACAACGCGTGACCAAAACGGTCTCTTTAGCTTCTTCGAGAAAGTGCTTAATCATTTAGAAAAGGTATCAAAAATGGTGAAGATTGTTTTTTGAGTGCTGGAAACAACTCGTAGAAGCCTCAGTTTGAGTTTTTGGACCAAGTAGTTCAGATGAGTTGCGATCGTTTGATGGAACATTTTTCGTAATAATTTTATCGGAAATAGCTCGAAATGGTCCTTAAAAAAAGGGGGTTCACAGAATAAAAAAATTGAATCTGCGTCCACTTTTGCCCACAAAAAGTTCCCAGACTTCCCTAGATTTAATGAAATAAAAATATAGGCATCAAAAATTTGAGGATCTTAGATTTTAAACTCACGTATAACTGGGGTCCTGGTACTGACGTTTTGGGAGCTTGATTCCTGAATCTGTCCTTAAGTTCCACTCGCACTTCCCTCTTTTTGATTAATGATGGTGATAATCATTCTATAGTTCTCTTTCTGGTCGTAAAGAACAGCATAATTTTTAAATAGAGCATTTTTTTATGTTTGTCAAACTCCTCAAATGTTAATTTTTGGCTAGATATATTTATGGTTAGACTTGTTTAAAAAGTCAATCAGAAGAACTCATCCGCTGAAAAGTGCAGAGTTAGAGTGTAAGTAATAATTAGAAGTTCGTAATCAGAAGTTATCAGAATGATTGTAGACCAAAAAAATTTCGGAAATCAAAAAAACTTTTAATTTGGAAATATTAGATAAATATATTAATTTGTTTTCAAATAATTATAATATTTAATAACACAGAGGTCAAAGCTAGAAAACAGTAGGTTTTTAATTGATTTTTTCATAATTTAACCTTGATGAAAAATTTCGAAAATTAAGAGATGTCAGCTTATGCCAAATTGTTTTTTTGATACGAGAAACAATTCAAAACTCAGCAATAAATCCTAAATCTCAAGTAATTCAACTCAAATCTTGGAAAATTTGGAAAAATGTTTTAAATATCGAATTTTTGAAAACAAAAAGCCAAGTCAAATATTCTTCGATATTGTCAAATAAAATAGAAAAACCATTTTTTTTTCCAAAATGCCTTGTTTCAAAGACTATTATATTCAAAGTTTACCAAAAAAATTTACTAACTCGGACCGATTGCAAATGATCCAATCTATCAACTCTGAAAACGTCAAGTTTTGACTTGAATCACTCCAAATATAATTGACCACCAGTACCAAAAGGTTGGTTAATATAGTATGATAGTGAGATTTCTGCCGTAATGCACCTGAAGTTTTGCGTTGTAGTAATGAAAGAATTTGCTCGAAAAGTAAGTAAACTGCAAAAAAATACTGAAATAAATAATCCAATTGTTTCACTTAAAACTAGTGTAAACTCGTTGCAACAGAACTAGAAAATTACCCAGAAAAAACTACCGATTTTGGTTGAAATACTTTTTTGGACACAAACCCTGTACAAAATCAACAACGGGATATCACTTGCAACTGGTGATAAAAATCAGTGAAGACTAGAATCGTTTTGAGCTTCCATAGTTGCGCACATGTTCAGCTTAAAAAAAGTTTGACGAAGCCTTAATTACTAACGAGGAAACTTGAAGAATCATTACCCAGAACCCTGCTTAACAAGAACTGTAAACAAATTTTTGGTTGAGATCGTAAATGGAACTTCAAAAGTTTCACAGAAAACACTAACTGAAACAAGTTGCAAGAAAATTGACAAACCGATGTTTTTTCTACAGCACCGGTGAAACTTATATTAGAAAAAGAGAAAAAATCAGTCGTCAAGCATGGTGTTGGTTACGTTCACAAATGATGTTTTCTGAAGTTTTTTGAAATCGATTTTAGTGGGTTTAGTTCCACCTATGTTGGGCAAACGTGCTGACATCTAACCACACGGACAGCACAGCATCAGTAGAATGATTCTTTGGCAGTACAGCAAATCGCAGATTGCTCTAAACAATCCAAAGCATTTGAAAAGCTTTTATTAGACCCAAAATCACACATCAAAAGTTTTCAACACTGACAAAAGTTATTTAAATCTTTTAGATTGTTCAGAGCACTCTGCGATATGCTTTCCTACCGAAGAATCAATCTTTTGATGCTCTGCTGTCCGTGCAGTTAGAAGTCAGCATGTTTGTTCAACACAGTTGGAGCTAAATCAGTTAAAATCAAAAAACACCTGATTTCAAAAAACACCTGAAAACCTCATTTGTGAACGTGACCAACACCATGCTTGACCACTGAAACCTTTTTTTAAATTTAAGTTTCATGGGTGCCGTAGAAAAAATATCGGTGTGTCATTTTTCTCGCAACTTGTTTCAGTTAGTGTTTTCTGTGAAATTTTTGATGTGTGAATTTTCAAAAATGTGACTTTTTAACTTTTTTTGGTGAAATACGTATAACTCTAGACCAGTAAGCTACAAGTCCTAATCCTTGTAGGCGTAATAGGCAGAAATTGTAGCTATCATTGGTAGCATCATGGTCTTGATTTTTGCTTCAATTTCGTCATCGTAGAGGTCAAAATATAAAAATGCCAGCAAGATTTCAAAGTTTGTTGCGGTCAGAAATTACCTGTGCTTGAAAACACATTCGTTAAACATGTTTTGCAAGCCGTTTTCTACTCCAGTGCCGGTTGATACATCAGTAGCGGAGGCATTGAAACTCGATAGCATAGAAAAAAGTTTCCCTAGTAGTTCCAACTCAATTTTAAGGGCACTTAAAACGACTTGGTTGTCAAAGTTATCAAATAGCAAAAATTTTCTTTATGTGTTTCTTATGTTAGTTGTTTCTTTAGTAAACTACACGCTCCGTGAACTACAAGAGATTAATTTTATTGACTCGCAATATTGCGAAAGGCCAACTCAATGGTTGACTTCAATTCAATATGAAACGAATTGATTCGCTGACTACACGGGTTACAAGAACACAATGGTCCTGAATTCGCCAAATAAGCAAAATCCAAGTGACAAAAGAACGACAATTGATTATTTATTTGTATATTTGGCCTCTGGACAACATGAAAGTCTAAATTAGTTGGTACAAAAAAGGTTTCCTTGTTCAATTGAAAAAAGCCAAAACAGAACTAAAAAAAACTCAAGCATTAAAAAAAAATTTCTCAAAAAAGTTAGAACAAAATATTTTTCAATTGACAAGCTCCATTTAAAATTTTTTGAGACATTACTCTAGCTGTCATAAGCTAATTTCTACTAGAGTTCTTTTGTTTGTCGCTTGTTCCTTATAGTTAAAATTTTTTTCAAGAACCAAGAGGAGTGTTTTCGTAAATTATTTGACTGAGAAAAACTATATGTTCGAAATAGGCGGGGTGAATTTTCTTTAATCAGTGTTCATTACAGGCAATGACGTTCCATGGATATTAATTGATTATATTAGGTTTTCATTATTTGTCTTCATTAAATCCTAAATTATTTGATTATAATGGATTAATGATCAATGATAAAACAAAGAAGTAGAAATCAATTTAACCCATTAAAATCGGTTTTAATGGATTAAAATGATTTATAATGGTTTATAAGAGATAACAAGGGGTTGTAATAGATTTTTATGAGTGAGAACCTGGAATTTTTTCCAGTCTTGGAACAAAATATTAAAAATTTGAACGTTGCAATCTCTAAATTGTGGTTTGCAGTTGGCTCCAGCTAAAAGTTTTATCGTTTTCTATTCTTCTTGTCTTTTTTCTACTTGTCTCCCCTTTCCCTTAATACTTCATACTATCTCACATTTCATGGAGAGGGGCAAAATGACATGTAACCGCTTTATTTATGTCTAAATAAGCTATATGAGATACTCGTGAGCTGAGACTTTAATAATTAGCCACACAACAAACGCTTCTTTTTCTCAAGTTTATTATCAATGAAAAACTTCTATTTGAAGATGTATTCTGCAATCTACGTATTATTGTATTTCGAAATTATTGCAATGAGTTCAAACCTTTATATAAAAATCGCCAACAGACAGTTAGAAAAGAGTCAATGAACGGAAAAAAATTAAAGGAAACAAAAAATATTGACGAGATATTTTTCGAATTGCAGGGAAAAAAAAGTTATTCCCTTAAAATCTTTGAATTTTACAGAAGATTTTTGATTGGCTCTTTTTTGATTAAAATTAACCTAATTTGAGGAAACTGGACCGAAAATGGAAATTTTTTATTCGCTGAAAATCATAAATTTAAAACTCACATTCGAAACCAGAATTCGATCACGTTTTTTTTCGTAATTTTTACACTTTTGCTGTTCGCCTTCCCTCAAATAAAGGAAATGAACTGAAATTAAAAAGAAATCAAATGTCAAACCGCGAAAAATCAAATTTGTGTGTGAACAAATTTTAAGAGTTTTCCTGAAAGAAAATCATCAAGACTTGTATTAAAGTCTTCACTGCGTTCATCGACTCTTAATAACACTAAACAGAGATGGTATTTGAGTCGAACGAAGTTTGATTCATTTTATGTCCTTGTTGGACCCGTCGTTTGATCCCGTTTGGGTCATTGACCCTTGCTGGGTCACTCAGAGGTTGCAAGGTCATGCTGACCGGCTGACCTTTTGGACCCGCGATCTCCACACTTTTATAACCCAGCATCACGTGATCTTCAATCACGTGGGGTTGGGAGGTGTAAACGGGTCTATAACCCGTAGCTCCTCTTGGGTAATTTTCAGTCGAAATTATCCCCATGCATTTGTATCGGTCGAAGTCTCCGAACCGTTCAGGGTTGTTTCTGACCCCAGATGAACTTCTGTGACCTTTGGTTTTGTAGGTTTTGGCGCAGTGGTAGAAGCAAGATTCAATGGCCATTATGAATATTGCAATACATAGTCCACTGAATAGAATGTAGAATATTCCTGCTACTTGCTGGAACCCGAGACCTTCTTTGCCGTTCTAAAATGAAACATTTGTCAATATTTTTTCAGTAGAGAAAACGCCAATTATACAAGGTGTTTTGTGTCTTACACATAACAAAGCCGGAAACAACTATGTTATAGGTCAAAACTTTACCACGTATTTAAAGGTACCACAGAAAACTTTTAGATGGAATCGTGTGTAGGTTCAGTAGAGGATTTAGGGGGGAGGGGGTTTTTTACGCTCCCCCCCAGGAATTTGTCCCCCTGCCGACCCAAAGGGTCCCCAATTTTGAGATATCCATTTTTGGCTGACTAGCCTTAAAATTTTTCTAAAGGCGCCTTCAGCGCCAATCTATACTAATTTTGAGGGATAACGCGACTTTTTGGTCGAAACTTTCCAAAAAGTGCCTAAAAATGCCTAAAAACGCCCTTTTTGGGTCTGTATAGTGGTTTGGGAAAGCTCAGAAAATCAATTTGGTCGACCTACAAAAAAATTCGACAAAATTTTCAAAATTTTTTTGAAAATCCCCCCCTTCGAGAAATTCCTAGATCAGCGCCTGTTTAGGTTCCTATAGAAGTCGCTCCAGTTGCGATTTTTTTCAGTGTAGAGAACGACGCATTCATCCCTCCTCTTCTTCCTGCTACTGTTTATGGCGGTGGAACAATCTGTTAGTCTAAATTGTTGTCATGATGAAATAATGAACAAGAGTAGAATAAATGTTCGAATATACATATTATTATTACTATTTATTGTGTCATGAAACTTAATCGGAGTAACAGAATGCTGCAAAAGCATTGTAAATATTCATGGTTATCAAATAAACTTCGGCACGGGTCCCGTACCCGGCCCGCAGCTTCGGACGAGGGGGGACATTGACCCCTGTGGATCCACCACTTGTTCTTCAGCTCCTGCAACACTCCCCCCTCAGTCAGACTCAGAATCTCCACCGTGAAGTTGTGCCTGAAACAAAAGTCAGGATTTTTCAAGTTTTTCCGAATCATGCTTTGCGTTTAATGATATTCGAAAAGTTGTTCGGCCCATTTGAGGCAGCCAAATCAGTTTCGGAGCTTCAAGTATCCAAATGCATTGTTAGTCCTACTTTAAACTATAAAAAAAAATGTGAGAGGATCAAATGCAAGAGAAATGAAGCCCGCCAGAAGTTCGGTCTCTAATCCCTATTTTCTCCTTTCTCATCTTCATAATACTTGCTAAATATTTGTCAAAATTGATTACTGGTTAGCGGAGTTATTGCTGTTTGCGAATATAACATTTTGAACACAAAACGAGAAAAAGAAAACTGAAAGACTAATGTGACTACTTACGTCCATAGTGAGTTTTTGGTGAGTGCTATTCCGTACCCTTTAGTGTCTAGATTATTGCCCACAATCATAGTATCACAGGGGGGCTGCTGTGCTGTGTACTCGTTCATTGCACTCTCTACAGACAACACAAAAAAGAATGACAAAAACAAGACAAGGTAAAATTTGTTTAGCTGTTCGCGAATATAACATTTTGAACACAGAACGAGGAAAAGAAAACTTGTTCATTGCACTGTCTGCAGACAAGACAAAAAAGAACTAGTCAGTTGTTTAGGTATTAACTGATTTTTGATCTTAAATTCAACCTGTTTCAGATCAGTTTTTTCTACTCAAAAACTTTCGAAATCAACAGATAAACATAGCCAACCTACAGCTGCAAAATAGTAATGAACACAAGGAAACAGAAAAAGCACTTCCTTGTTTATTGAAAAACTTCAGTTTTTGAATGCTAAAAAAACAAATATATCATTAAAGCTTCTTGAATTTCAAAAACAATTTATAATGATGCTTTTTGATGAAAATAATCCAAGTTGAGAAAACTGGATCAATGAAATTTCAATTCAGCTGGGAAATCTGAACTGTAAAATCCATTTTCCAAGTTATAAGTCGATCACGTTAGAAGTTCATCACAATTAATTTCGACAAAAATTAATTCAATTTGAGAAAACTGGATCAATAGGTAAAATTTTCATTAAGCTGGGAAGTCTGATAATTATGTTGCTATTTCGAAACTAGAAGTACATCACATTTTTGCGACCTTTACCTTTTTGCTGTTCGATAGTTGAGTTTGCTTTGCTTCCAACAAAGGAAATAGACTGAACTAAAAAAAAATAAAAAGTCAAACCGCAAAAATTCTGAATTCAGTGTGAACAAACTTTAAGATTTTTTTCATGAATTTTTTTTTTAAATAGCAAACCTATATAAGAGCCTTCACTACGTTATTAATCTAAAAAAGAGTCTGAAAAAGTTTTTCGTACAGTTTTTATTGATACTGAATTGAATAAAAACGTAAATTTATCCTATAACACACTTTTCAGTGTTGCGAAAAATGTAGATTTAAAACATATCGGTTACCAAGGATATACTGATGTCTTTTTTCTTAATTTTCTTTATTTTTTTTCCTCAAAGTCTTTTGAAATCCATTCTAAACTACAATCTTGAAAAAACCACTTTAAATTTTTCGTAAAACAGAATGAAAACTACTATGAATATTTTACTATGAATGAAAACTGCTCTAAATTTGTTTTAAAAGCGCAGAAAATTCTTTGATTTGTGTGACTAATAATTCCAATTTTTTTTTGCTCGTATTTTGTTGTTCCGACCAATGAAAATGGGGAGGAACTTTGTAGTTGGAAGTGTTTTACTTTTTTTCTATTTCCATTTGCCACGCAAAATCAGGTAACGCCAAAATTTATCAGATGGGTTAAGTCTAATTTCATATTAAATTCTTTCCAGTCTTGTTTTGAACGACAAAATAGCTTTCAAAAAAAGTTGTTCGGTTGTTCTAAAAATTTGTGTTTCGAAAAAAAAATTGAGTTTTAGTTGCAACTAAACCTATTACAGAAGGATAAGACGTGACACTTTTTTTCAAGCCTTGAAAATTTAGTTTCAGTGTAATATAATTGGTTATGAAAATTTGTGAAATTCAAAAAAAAATTCAAAAAAATTCATAAATTCAAAAAAATTCTGCAAAAAAAATTTATAGGAAAACTTTTCAGGATTTTTTTTTGTTTTCGTTTGAAAGTTTTTTCAACTTGGCTAATTTACTATGAATGCAAATTTTCTGAGGTTCTACGCTTTCGTTCATATCAATTTATCACACCACGTAGTAAGAAATAAAAAAAAAAGTTTTGTTGTTTTTTGTTGTTTTTTTTTTATGAGAAATTGGTCGGAAAAAACAAGTACTTGCACAGCAACCAGCTATCGTTGTTTTTTTTCTATTTTTTTTACAGGTATCCCAATAATTGAGTTTTGTGTTCATTGAAAACCCTCTTCTCACCCAGGAGAAATGCATACGCTCCCCCACTCTCACGGACTCTGCGGATGCCCTCCTGGTTGCTACTGGTGTAGGGCGAGGGGGAGATTGAAGACATGAAGGCGTGCATACGTTGGAACATCGGAATCGGAGACGTCTGCACAACACAAAAGACAAAGATATCCTTGTTACTTTTAATTTCAGCGACATTAAATATAAGCACATAAGTTTTCATGCACAAAATACATGCACAAATTTTGTAAATATATGCACAACCAATTAGGTTAATTTCTACTTGAAGAGTTAACGATTTAAAAAATATATATTTATATGTTTAATGTTTGCCTCTTTTGTAGATAATTCAAAATGATTTTCAAAGTTCAATGCACATGTGTAATTAAAAAGTTAGATTTTTGGTTTCCAAAACAGGATTTGAAACTTTTCTTTTTGTTAACCTGAGCTGTAATTCTGATATACTATGGTTCGATATACTATTTTTCAAAGCAGAAGTTTTTGTAATTTTTTTTCACTTTTTCTTGACTCTCATAGTTTTTCATAATTTGCGTTCTCTTGCTGAAATGAAAAATTACTAAATTTATATAGAAAAAATAATATCCTCTAGAAATTGTTTTTTTTTAATTACGCATTTTATAAAGAAAAAATAACATATACAAGTTGTTTTTTATTGTTTTTTTATTGTTTTTTTAGAGAAATTGTCCTTTTTCTGTACCTTGAAGAAGTTCATAGTGGTTCCGTCTTTGACACATCCGTACTTGATCTTGGACTGCTGAGCCAGATCAGCCACTGAGTTGATGGGACTCTCGAGGCGCTCGAAGGTGAGGAAAGCGGCCAGATTGGCTGTGTAGGCGGACACTATGAAGAGGGTGAAAAACCACCAGGAGCCAGCGACCACTCGGCCAGCTATGGACCTAAATAATTTCAGACAATTTATCACCAATCAGGGGCAGATATAGGTTTTTCTCGAGGGGGGGTGCGGATTTTCAAAAAATTTTCGAAAAGTTTGACGACCCTTTTTTTTTATTTTTGAAAAAACAGG